AGCCCTGTCTGCGCGGGTGTGAGTGTGTGCACAGGTGCGTGAGCACGAGCGTGTGTCCGTGTGCGTGCACATGCTTGCATGTGTGTGCACAAATGTGTGGGCAGGGGTGGGTGGGTGTGTATGTGCATGCACACGTGTGAGAACACATGATCGTGCTACTGTGCGTGTGCTTTGGTGTGTGCATGTGTGTACATGTGTGGGCATGTATGTGTGCATGCACATGCACATATGCCCACATACATAGATGTGTACGGATGCATGCGCCTGTGCACACACGGGGAGCGGACCTGCAGTGTTTCTCACAGCAGGCAGAGTGGCTGCAGGAAAGACTCTGGTGCCAGGGGGGTGGGCTCCGATGGGACATGGGCTCAGGTCCCAGCTTGCACCCACCCTGCATCCCCCACGGGTGGGTGCCAGTACGAGCTCCTAGCCCTCTCCTCCACCAGACCCCGTCCCCATGGGGCGATGCCATGGGAAAAGGAGGCAGATCAAGCCTGAACACAGGACCATTTGTCAGTGCATTTATGCTCAGAGCTCAGGACAGTGCACAGGTGCTGTGCTCTCAGCGGGGCTCGTTTGCTGCAGACTTCCTGTGTACCTGCCCTCATTTTGGGGCAACGTGGCAATGCCTTGGACACTCTTCCTCTCTTCCCCATGCCCAGGTGGACACTGGCTTTTGCAGCCCTGGCAGCCTCCTGCTGCGTGATACGTATGACCATCCCTGTCACTGGGTCTGGATCGGCTCAGCAACAGCTAATTTTACTATTGAGTCAAATTACTCTTTTAGAGGCAGCAAGCCTTTTCATCCCAGGTTCTATCTGGGCAATGCAGAGTGACAGAGGTGATAAATCACATCACCTCCGGCTCCTTGTCCAGTAAACACCACCATAAATTCCTTAATTGTATTTTTTCATACGGGGAATTGCAGACAAACTCTGCATACAAAGAGCACCTGCCTCTGCCACTGGGCGCAGGCACTGGGCTCAGACTTGGGGCCATCTCCAGCCGGCATTCAGCTCTTGCCAGTGGCACCATGCTCTTAGTAGAGTAAAACCCGGATTTCTGAAACCATCACGTCTCAATTTTGCCCCCCCCCAAGGAGGGTGAGGAGCTGGGGGCGTTGGGATCCCCCTTTCCTGCTGCTGCCCAGTATGACCCTTTCCTCTGCAAACAGTTTGCTGAGGCTAAGGGGGCCTGAGTTTGACTTTTGCAGACCCTGGAGGAACGGGATCCTCCAGGATGCTTGCAGGAAGCCTTACATGAGTGGGTTGGGTTAGTGCCACATGGCGAAAGCCCAAGGCCATGCCCGAAGTCTCATGTGAAGCCCATCTGCACATGCAAAATGTGGCACGGAGTGGGGGGAGGGGCTGGGCAAAAACTAATTATGCCGGGGGGGGGCACGCCGCTGGCAGGGAGGAAAGTGGAGGCGAGTTCTCAGGGTCGGCAGCCAGCTTGAGGAGGCTGTGGGAGTCCGGGGGCAGCAGGGGAGAGGCAGCCCCAGAGGAGAGGGGCTGGGGAAGGTTTGGGGCTAGAGGTTGGCTTCACACAAAGGAGCAAGCTGTTGGAAGACGGTACGAGGCGGACAGCCAATCACCGCGGCAGCCCAGCGATAAAAGGGTTCACACGGCAGGAAACGGCTCCCGCAGCCCGGGGCTCTGCAACGGGCAGAAAGGGAGAGAAAG